ACGAGAATATGTGTTAGAGTATATTTAATCAATGTTGAAATTTTATGGCATAAATTGCTAATGAGACTAGAGTTTTCCTTTCTGGAGTACTATATAACAAGTTGTCATTAGTTAATTACAATTGAGTTCCAAAAAAAGAAATGGTACCTGAAAAACATTGTACTCTATACTTAAATGGCATGTATGTTTTCAGTTTTCTAATAAGTTGGATTTAAATAATTCTTTTATGCCATGATTGAAATATTGAAACTTAATTGAAATTAATGCCAGTGAGATTGTATGAAGTCATAAGCTTTATCAATAGAATTTCCTTCTGAATCAAAAATTTCAGTGATATTTTGGTCTTCAATTGGTTTTGATGATTTCTAGAGTAACTTGAAAAAAATATTTTAATTCTATAATGTTGATGGGCATATCAGCAAAATCCATTTCTCACGTGTTTAAAATAATAAAGGCAACCAAACAGGAAATTAGTTTCTAGTGAAAAGTCTGTTTGGCATATTCTCTGGCTTTTCCTTTTTTTTAAACTTGTCTAGATTCAGTTGGAAACTACAGTTAGAAATACCCTAAGCATGTTTAAATATGCTTCTAATAAGCTAGACTCTCCTGCTTCAATGAATAAAGAAAACAGTTCATTGTTTTTTTAACTTTGCTAAAAGACAAATTCTATACTTTGGCTTTCTGTTTAACTGTTATATATAGTATGCTATTTTTAAAATGCTATTGTTACAGTGCAGTTTGTAAAATGAAGACACCATATTATATAGGTTCAAAAAATAAGAGTTTTCACTTATATGATAAGATCAAAACTGGCTTTCAACTATTAATTTTTCATTACATGTTTTTCTAAGTTTTAATGTATAGGTAAATTGAAAAACATTGTATAGGTAAATTGAAAAACATTGAAAGTGATGGTTATAGAACTATAGTAACATCATATCAAAATTTACTGGGAAATCTTGTGTTTGATGACAGGCATGTGGCTAATCTTGTATTCTCACTATCTAGAACAAAACAGTCAACTTTCTGGTGATAAAAAGTTTAATTTTTTCTCTCTTCAGGATAGTAGTAGACAAGAGCAATTTTCAAGGTGTATTGATGGATAATTTCAACACTAAGTAATTAAATATGGTCTTTATCATGAATTCTAAATACAGAGTATACTCATGTATTTTCTGATTCATGTAATTAATGTTTCACCTGCCTTGATACTGGATTGTGTCAAGACACTCTGATGTTGGGTATATAGATAAAAACAAACAGATAAACTAAATAAAAATATAATTTTTGACCACCAGATGAATTAGTGTAAGCTTACAGAATTAATTTTAGGGTCAGCTAAATTTTATGCCTATTGAGTGAAAAAAATGGAGATTTAGTTTCTATTCCTCCTCTCTATTCTTCCTTTTCCCCTCTTCCCTCCATCTTTGCTTCCTTTTTTCTTAAAATGTGCTGGCTAAGCCCTCTAATACAAAGTACAGTGTTGAAGGAAAATGTTCATAACCTTTCATTCTCAATCTCAGTGGTGGTGAAACATGTCTAATATTTTACCAATAAATTTTATATCAGCCAAAAGTTTTTTTTTTATATTAAGGGGGTTTTCTTCTATTTCTACATCCTTGAGAGGTTTTTAACATTAAATGTTAGGTTTTGTCTAATGCTTTTATTTTTGCCTCTAATAAGCTCTATCTGCAAATACAATCACATTGGTGGTTAGGACTTCATACATGAATTGGGGCAGAATAGGTGGCAAAATTTAGTCCATAGCAATTTTTGGTTGATATTTTTAGCAACTGTTTGCATTTTCAAAAATAACAGCTCTTGGCATGACCATACAAACAAAAAAGCACACCAAAGCCACATAGAAACCATAAACTTAGAAACTCTGGCTTCTACCCACAGGACATTAGCATTCTGATTCAGCTTAGGAGTGTGGGTGTCTTTGGGAACATCTTCGGTGTGAGTCATATTTTTCTGTACATCATGTTACAGACTCTTGAGGACAACTCTTCTTCATAAAACCTAAACCCAGCTTATAGGAACCTCCTAGACTGATTGTCAATGCAGGTTGTGTTTACAGAAGAAACAAAGAAAAATTACACTCTAAATTCAGAAAGAAAAAAGTGAAATCAATAACACATATTTTCACTACAATCATTCATCTTTCCTGAGAATTTTGTCATGGCATTATATTTATTTGGATTTTAACAGTAAATAAGAACCAGGTGCTTTACTTATCTATACCTAAAGAGGATATCCTACACATGCAATAATATTGTATATTTAGGGAAATATTTAGATGATTTTGAAACCCTGATATACTGTTCTAACGAATCTGATAAATGTAACTTTTCTGTGTTACTTTAGAAACACAGAAGCAATTAATTCTGGCTAAAATGGCAATTTGAATGCAGGGAGATGACTACTTTTTGCAATCTAAGTAATTAAGTAGATGTAAATATACTTGAATTTATTCTGGAACTCCTAATGTTTCAATATTTACTGCAGTAGTGAATTCATAAAAACACGGTACATAATCTAGAAGTAAAATAGATACTTATATCTCCCCAAGTCCACTAAAGACTAATTAATAACTTGACAGTATAAATTTGTTAACTCCTCTGACCTTTTCTCTCCAAGTTTCCTATAGTCTTAAATTCAAGGGCTCACTCTGAAACTCTCACTCTTGTCTCCTTACCAAAACACTCATCTTGCTTGGCTCTCATGTCTTCCAGTCAGTCTTTCCAGTTCCACACTCTAGGCGTCAATGTCTTTAATATAATTGATAGTATGTGAGCATTGGAGAGGAACTGGGATTCCTCTGATTCCAATGACCCCTTTAAACTCAGAGGAACTGAGGAGGGATGAAGGCTTTCTGAAAAAGAAGTCTGCTTCCTGTGGGGAAGAATTAAGCAATGGAATGTTTCACATTCAGCAGCATGTGTACAGTTTAGTTTCCAGGCTTTTTCCTTATCATCTACAGTGTCAAATATTCTCTGTCTTACGCCACTCAATGATTTTCCTGTTCTCAAGAAACACTACAGTTCTTGGTGATTGTAAATAGCCCATGGGGATGTGTAGATATACATATATGTATTTGAATTAGTGTTTCTGTGGGTTTTTTTTTAATATTGATTGATGAATGGATATACATACACACACACACACAATGGAATACTACTCAGTTATAGAAATAGATGAAGAGAATTAGGCTTAGTGAAATAAGCCAGATTGAGAATGACAAACACTGTGATTTCACACATGTGTGGGGTATATAGATAAACAGATAAACTAAATAAAAATATGATTTTTGACCACCAGATGAATTAGTGTTTCTGGAGAGGGATTAGGAAGTGGGTGGGTACATCAGGTCAAAGGGGACAACTGTATAGTGAAAGATAGAATTGGACTTTTGATGATGAGCTTAATGTATTATATATGTGTTGTCTTTTTGATGAATACCTAAAACATATATAATGTTACAGTACAATGTTACTTCAATAAAAAATAATTAAAAAAAGATGGCTCTGTCCCTCAACCCATAGGCAACTATGATTTGACATATTTACTTGCATTTTGTTTATGTAATTATACCAGTCACATATACAACTTTATATATTATTGATCTGATGGGTATATGAAATAATCCGAATATATTATTTTTAATAAACACTGCATCCTGTTCAAAGGCTAAGGGAACAAGACTCTTTGAATGGTTTGCTAAATCACAAAGTTGCACATACATAGTAACATTTCCATTATAATATTCTACTTGAAATGATATTTCTGTGTTCTTTTCTAATATGATAACTTCCTAAAATCTTCAGTTCCAATCAACCTTGCTCCTATAAAATAGCTCTTTTTAAAACCATCTAGGTCATCTGTTGACAAAACACAAAGAAAATGTAAAGTAGTAGAAGGGACATAGGAGATTACCTTAGAGATTCTGATGCCTTGTGTTCCCCAAATTGCAAGAGCAAAATCATGCATTTGCTTTTGTTTAATGCAAACTGTGTTTAGAAACTACTCATTTGTGATAGTCTTAATCACATATTTCAAAATTGAGCTTATGAAACTTCTTGTTTTGAGATAATACATTTTTAATTGAAGTTTAATCAATTAGGTATGAACTGCACTAAATCGTTCTGTCTTAGCAATATGTACAATAAAAGACAAATATCTCTTTTGGTGTTTATTGACATCTATATAATTAATCCAAGCAGGTTTATAAGAAAGTGGTGTTTACTTTTTGAAAACCTTCAAATTTATAGATTGACAAAATATTCCATAACAATGTTTCAAATGCCTGATGCGCCACCATCCTTAATATATTTCCCTTGCCGATGTTCTTAGAGCACCTCCAAACTTAGATTTTTCTGGCTAAAGGAGTTCAACTTTCTGTGGAAAAAAAAAGGCAAATTTTTAGGACATTTTTTAATTCATAGTAAATAGTGGGGACTGAGAGCAATCAGACTAGTAGAAGCTAATCAGATAAGAGTAGTTGAAGAATGGAATTAGCCAATTGATTCTAAAATCAATCCTCTAGTCCTATGATCACATACATTACTCATGTAAATTAATCATGCAGAAGATAAAATGACAACATTTTTGACATTATTTTAAAGTTTTTGTTGAATATTTAGTGATACAATAGGTTATATATTGAGATTTGGTCATCTCACACCTAAATCCCAAAATTCTTTTTATTGTTTGCTTTTGAAGGTTAATCTTCCTCTAACTCTCTTTAAAGAATTCAGATGCCTCATCCTCACTTCTTGTAAATTTCTCTCTCTGTAGAAGTGAGCTTTATATGGCTTAACAAATCTTTGCCTGTTTTAGACTCTCTGAGGTTCCAGTCCTCTGAAGGGCTAAGGTATATCTTTCTGATAAAACCATATCTCTATGTGTCATATAAACATATGCATGTGTGCACATATATGAATGTTAGGAAAATATTTTTATTATTTTAATATTAAGTATTATATATTTTGATATTTCAGAGTGAAAGCACAAACAAAATGCCTAAGGAACTGTAACAAGTGGTATGCTTCCAAAGAAACAAATAGTGAGTTTTGCCTCTCTTAGGGCAATCTAGGTGTAATTCTTCAATTACACCTATGAAAAATGGGGGAAAAGTCAAAAACAAATAAATACAAATTCTGTCAATTACATATACAACACAGCGACTTGTTTGATTCCATATTATTTTGGTTTGGTTTGATTATCCGGATTAGTATTTTTTTTTTTTTTTTTTTTTTTTAAAGAAATTTCTTTTTTTTTTTTTTTTAAGATTTATTTATTTATTTATACAAGCACTGGGACAGTCAGAAGCACGGGAGGGTGAGAGAATTCACCAGAGCCAGAGTGGGAGCAGAGCAGGCAGAAGGACCAAAGTACACTGCTGAGGGGAGCAGCGGGCGGCAGAGAGGTCTGCGCGCCATGTGGGACCCTCCTCTGGTGGCCGGGAGCAGCGGGGATTGAACCGGCGCTGCAGAGGCTGCGGGCAGCTTCACAACCCAGCGCTCAACCGCTGCGCCACCGGGGAGGCCCCGGATTAGTATTTTGGTTTGTTTTGATGATCTGGATTAGTATTAGTAATACTGATAAAAAATGAAAAAAAAAATCTAAAAACCAGTGCTGCTGGGGTTGTTAATCAACAGTTCTTTGTACAAAAGTTCTTCTTTTTCCATCATAATCAGGATGACTTATGAGTTTCTATAATGTATAGGCTCAAGGAGAAGTTGTGTGTCTTATCAGTGTGACTGAGTTATGGGAGGAACCATTTAGAAAAACAACTTTGCTGCAGACTTAGGAACTGCTTTAGTGATCTATGCGCATTGTCTTTTTATCGCCAGTGACTTTTCTACCATGGCGCAAGCTGCTGTTCTTACCATTGTGTGATTTCAAGCTCACCTTCAGGCAATTTCTTTTTTTTTTTTTTTCTACTATGCAAGTGGAAAGATTTTGCTTCTAAAGTATATTTTTAAATCTACTTTCATTTTTGCTGTGGTTTAAGTGACTAAACATTCTTTGTCTTACCAAATAAATGTTCAGTACTATTGTCATTCTATATTGAAATGCTTTACAAAGCATGGTGCAGTTAAAACCTGTTACTATGGCATTTTGGAAGAAGTATTCCACCCTCTGATATTTAATTCATTTCTAACTGTGTGATGGGAGTACACTATTTATGCACTAGAACTATTCACTCAGGTCATTAAAGTGCAGTGAGAAAATTGTTACATCCAGTAAAATTTATGACAATGTAGCACCTTGAAATGGTTGATAAACCTCAAAAAGAACCATTTCCTGCTGGATGAAAAGCTAATGTACATACCTACAAATTTTTAAAAAAATCATTCATTTTTAATGAAAATTATAGTATAGTCATAAAATTCTATTTGCATATAATGGAATGGAAGTACTTGTTTGTCCTAAAATAACATTCACATATAACCATTGTAACTAGAAAATAGTTATTTACAGTTATTGCTAATAAGATAGAATAATTTTATACCATTCCTGCTATTTATCTTTTGTTCTTATAATTATATTACTATGTAAAAATGTTGCTTATACAAATTTTGGGGAATTTTAGAATACAAATCAAGAAAAGGTAAAGTATTAATAATTTTATGCACACATAAAATTGTTTTATATATTGTGAGTCTCATCATTTTATTTTGTGTGAAGCAATATAGAATAAACATTCGGTCTTTCGATTCTGGAACAAGACTGCCCAGATTTCAATCATAATTCTGTGATATTGAGCTGGTTTCTTAACCTGTGATTCTCAGGCTCTTCATGTATAAAGTGGGAATAATGATAGTACATAATTAATAATGGTTGTGTTGCAAGAGAAGAAAGTATTATTGAATAAGAAGATGAAAGAACAGAGGAAAAAGTAATGGAAAGTAGAAAATTATGTGAAGCAGTGGACATAATTCAAAAGGACTAGAACATATGAAATTGACGCCAACATAGTACATAGATTAGGATATTCATAAAATGAATTAAATGTAAGTTGAAGGGACTGTAAACCTCACAAGAATCCAGTATCTGAAAATAATGATTCAATACAGACTATATCAAATTTATGTAACTTTCATTGAACCTCTTGTAACTAATATTTATTGACATGCCTGATATTTTTTTCATAAATTCCTGTTATGGCATATGAAAATTGTAGTGGTTCTGATGTGAACTTTGTTACTGTTAAAGGACTGGATTTTCTTCTGACAAAGGGAGAGAGTCCATGCAGATACATTCTGATCCCCTTACTTATCTTTTGGCAGATAGACTGCCAAAACTCATCAGCCTCTGTAAAGGTCATTCTTCCTAATACCCTCATCAATTATAGCCTTTGGAATGCAATATGTGAAACAGTTATTCTTAGAACATAGTACAAGGGATTGCCAGACTCTCTAATCAAGAAAATTTCTTCACTGATGAGGCAGGGGATTCATACTTTTTTCCCATTAGGACTTTACAGTTGCTAGAGACAGTGAGGGTTGTGAATTTCACATTATCCTTCATTCTTAATGGTAGTTTAATTTCAGGTTTCTTTTTCTGACAATGTTCAAATATATCAGCCACAGTTATATTCTCATTTAGTTTGCACATCCTTAAATCACAGGGTCCTATCCAGACCTGATGGAAAGGATTATACATTACTCAGAGATCATATATTTTGACATGAATGCCAGATCTATAAAGCTTTATGGCTGTGTTCCTTGAGGAGATAAGGGATATGACTTTATGCATGGGAAGATATGTATGAATGTTGGGTATGACTGTTGGGGAGTCAAAGTGTAAACTTTAGGAGAGATTGCTATTGCTTACATGGTAAGATAGCCTTATCCTCTTCCTTACTAATCAAACTCCAATTTGTTGTAATTTCCAAGAACCTCTAAAATTTTATATATCTCAACATTCCATAGATATAGAAATAACCACATGGCTCAGTTCTACCAAATGACATAGAAGTAGAAGTCATTGACTAGATCTTCTAGGAAAGGACTCCAAAAAAAGGTTGGGGAATAGAATCAGCTTGTGTAATTCTTTATTTTTGTTCATTTGCCCTTCTTTTCCTACTGCTTGAAATATGAGGATTGGAATTATAACATCTTTCCTCACTATTTTCCCATTATGATGGTAAATCCAAAATGATCTCAGTCCTGGACCCTGACTGTCATGACCTATTGATATAAATATCACCAATATACTTTCCAGTTTTTTTATAATATGGGAAAATAAAGTTCTGAGTTGTTTAAAGCACTATGCCATGATCTTCTTTCCATATAGGTAAATTCTAGAGCATCAAATCTGCATTATATGAGTAGAAAGCACTGTACAATATTCTCTTTTTCTCAACGGCCAATCCAGTCTACATTATATAAAACTGGGTGTCAATGAAATGCATGTTTTTTATTATATATTTTAAAGATTTATTTATTTATGCATACAAGAACTGGAGAGTAGGCCAGAGATGTGGGATGGTCAGAGTAGATCTACTGAAATACACTGCTGAGGGGAACAGCAGGTGAGACAGGACAGATCTGCTGTGCCATGTGGGTTAGCTCCCTAGCTGGAAATCGAGCTCATGTTGCAGTGGTTGCAACTATTAAAAAGAGACTTGACATAGACTACTATAATTTGTGGTTTTGGGATTGAACACATTGTTCAGTAATTTTTCTAAGATGTGTCTCCAGGAGTTTAAGTACAGAAATTAGAATAAGGGTAGAATAAAATGAGATTATTTAAACAAATACATTTCTCTATTTATTTTTTAAGATTTATTTTTTCATGCATACAAGAACCAGGGTACAGGCCAGATGTGCAGGAGGATGAGAGAGGATTCACCAGAGACAGAGTGGGGAACAGAACAGGCAGACTGACAGAAATGCACTTCTGCGGGGAGCAGTAGGTGAGACAGGAGAGGTCTGCTGCACCATGTGGGATTCTCGCTGGCCAGCAGGGATTGAACCCATGCTGCAGAAGCTGCGGACAGTTTCACAGCGCTGTGCTCAACTGCCTGCATCACCAGGGGAGGCCCTTAAACAAACATATTTCTTTACAAGTTGTGTTCTAAATAGATGTATACGTAATTGACCATTCATGCATATACAACTCTTAAGTCATTGACACCAATGTACCACAACTTTCTTTGGTAGTGTTTAATGCTAATGCTGTATTTATATGCCTGCAACAAATAGTTCATTGTACAGTTATTAGAAATCACTCAGCCATATATTTAAATCCCTGGATATTTGTGTGTAAATCTCAGATGAGAATTTTCACTATTTTCCCTCAAATGTTCAATTGTGTGCACGTATCACATCACTAGTCTATCTGATGTTTTTGAAAGCACTCAGATTACTGGGTATACAAGAGCATGGGGATAGTTACAGAGGAGAGGAAAAGGACTGGAGTGGTTAAAAGAAAAAAGGAAGAAAATATCAAGAAGAAAAAAGGAGAAGAGTGGTATTATTTTTTCTCTATTTGCTTTTTACCAGATACTGGCATAATAGATAACATTATAACCATTTTAAAATGAGAAAAATCAAGATTTAGTGACTTATGAGATTTACCCAAATTCAGACAAGCAGTAATAGAAAAAGGACTTAATCCATGGAACCTGTTAGAGGGATCAACAAGCCCTAGCCAACCACAGACTGTATTGCATCAACCCTTTCTTTATTATCCAAAGCCCAAAGGTAGCAGAAGGGGAAACTGTGAGAGACAGAGGCAATGTTATTTTTATCACATACTCTTTATTTCATTCTACTGCTAACTTTTTAGGATTTAATGCACTACTGCCTGGGAACTCTGTCACTATCTGATATTTCCCAAGGATGTCTTTTCTCCCTAAAGAATATGGAAATTAGTAAAAAAAATCTAAGATGGTTGGTATTGGGAATGGGCTTGGAAACTTCAAAATTCATTTCCTGCTTGACTGAAGTATATATGTACTCTAACTAGTCTGTGAATACTTTATTTTTCTGAAATAGATATATCAGCTCACATATTTTACATACAGTAACATTCCTCAGGGAATCTGCTTACTCCAAAGTATTCCATATTTGGAAGGTATTCTTGGATTTTTTTTTTAAAGAGCAATAACTCATTTTATCACTCTAGGCCTTGGGTAAATCATACA